ATTTTTTGAAAACATCAGAATATTAAATTTAATATACTTAAATGTTCGAAATTTTCTTAGAATTCATAACTTTAATTAACATATGATTGAATAGATGTACATATATAATGTTTAAAATGTAGTACAATTTTGATGAATAACTTTATCAACATAGATTTAATGACATTTAAAGTAAATACAAATACACTGTAAAGAAACTTATTTTTTTTTTAATTTATTGAAGACTAGAATTTTTTTGGTTAAAAAACCATTTAAAATGACTAATTATAATTTGAGAAGACTGAAAAGAATGTAAATTTTTCCAATATATAAATATACACTTAACATCGTAATTTTTTCTAAGTTTTTTTTTTTGTAAATAATGATCGGATCATCATGACTTTATTAAATTTTGTGAAATGTTATAGGCATAAAATATGCAAATGTTTTAACAATCGTAGTGAAATTAAATTATAAGTTACTGTCCGACTCGAACAAATACTAACAAGCTTCCAGCTTTACTAGTATTTAAGTTTGATAGAGTACCATCGAACAAGTAAAAAGACAAAATGTCTCGACCCAAAGCGAAGATGGAAATGCTCCACTTAAATTAGATTAACTAGTCTTAATGACCGCAAGTCGTTAAAAACCATCCATGTAATTAAATTTCAAGTTTTTAGATTAGCCTTTATCGGTCTATCAACTAATTTTGGTTCAACCAAAAAATTATAAATATAGCATAAGTGTGGGTAAAAATTTCTTTTTTTTACGGAAGTAAATAAAGTATTTAGCTTAAGTAGCTTAGTTCATATTTTATTCTTATAGTAAAAAAGTACTGAATGACTTTCCATAATATACATTAAAAAATTACAATCTATAGTTAAACGTTTTTTTTTATTTATTACAGAGTTTTCTTACTAATATAAAATTCATCGTCACAATTCATCTTAGGGTTATATAAGCTGAAAGAAATTTGATCAAAATTTATATACTATAAGTTTTCTTTTCCAAGAAACATTCAACAGTTCACTCAAAGCTTTTAGAATCATTTATTGATGGACATGCCAAAAAATAATAAACGATTTTAATGAAAAATAAACAATTTTTGTATTCAGTCGAATTTGTATGATAACATCAAATGTCTTTTCCTAAATAAATTCCTATGCATTAAATATATTTTGATATCCACTGCTACGATTATTAATGCAATAATTCGTGCTTTATCATTTAAATTTAATAATCATTGTCCACAATATCGTCAATCGGTTTCCCAGCAATTTGGAAGAGCAAAAACAAAAACTCCTATATCCGTACATATTTTAGTTGCAGGTCTAATACTTTTTAACTCTTTGATAAAAGTTATGTCATTACTTATTTCCACTTCTTTAATATAAGTTGTCTCATAAGCACATTTTTTAATTTTATATAGCTTTATAAAAAAACCTTGAACTTTAGTATTAGCTTCGTTATGAAAATCTATGATTGATAATATCTCGCCGAATTGATTGCCAAAAGATACAACAGAATTACAATATTTAGTATCATTATTATTTTGACTTTGATATTCGGTTCCATTTATTTTAATTTTAGCGTATGAAAATGGATTGTTAACGGAAGCGTAACCTGCCTCTTGCAATACAGTAAGTTCAACTTCTTGGAACCTTACAATTTCTGGGCTACTTACAACTTGAAAGTCTTTATTAATAACTATTTCCTCAGATAAATTAGGGATTTTCAGAATATTGCAAATAAATTTCTTTGTTTCAGTAGAAATTGAATCACTATAAATTGCCGATTCCACAAATTTTGTCATTAAGAATTGCATAACTACTTGAACAGCTCTTTCATGGGGACTTGTTACTTTATCCATAATCTTTTTATTCCATGATTCATACGTAGATGCATTATTTACCCACATTGGCCCTAAATTTTTAATTGTTATAATCAAATGAGCAAATAAATGTAAATTATAGCTCATATTTTCCAATCCGAATAATTCTTCGAATTGTGAAATATATTTCTCTAAAAGATGTGCTGCTTTTTCAAGATTAGCAGCTGTTATAGAATCACTATTTAAATAATGAACAGCTTGAGCTAACAGAGCCAAATGTTTGATATATTTTGAATGTAATATACCATCCAAACACGGTGATGCATAATCTAACCAGTTTCTTAGTTCGGATCCTTTCCAATTGTTAAACGTTTCTACACTTCGGGGTAAACGAGCGCGGCGTGATGGCGGTTTTATGGATAATAGTCGCTTATCAATCATCGCTTTACTGGTCGGGTCACCAACATAGTATGGTGAATCTGTTGCAGTGAAAAATAAATTCGTATGCTGTTTTACAGCTCCTAAAAAAACTGCATGTAAGCTATCGACCGCAAGTCCGTTTGCCAAGTCGAATTCTGGTAGACCTGATAAAGCTGAAATACCTTTTATTCCATTGATGATTGTTTTTGTTTCATAAGCTGCAAGCATATCTCTTCTCATTTCTTCATCTGTTCGCAGATTCGTAGACCAGTCAGTTCTCGGATATACATGTTTGTGCTTCTGATGTTCTCCTTTTGCATAACAAAAAGTGCATCCATAATAGCCATTGAATTGCTTCATTCTTAAAATTAGAGATCGTGATCAATAATTCATCTCAATTCAATTAATTAGCTTCTGTTCTCAGATTACGAATATATTCGATCTTCTCGGATCAATATAAACAGATTACGAGTACTTTCAAAAACTCAAAGGCGGTTGAGGTCACCCCTCACCCCTATTGTACGCCAAGTACAATTGTCTCATTTTACATACACACACATACTCTTATTACATACAATTGTATCTATCTTCGAGGAGTTTTTCTCTAGTCATTGCTAGAGTTTTCTCCCATTGGGGAATAAATTATTTATAATTATTCACCCCAACATCGAGTGTATTATTTTTAAATTAGATATCCTGATCCTGATCCTGAATAATCAAGAAGAACAAAATAATTACGGAAACTCTCCTTCTTGGAGAGTTTGCGACAAAACAAAATTCATTATTTATTATTTAACCTAGTGATAATATCTTTTTGATTAATATTTATTCAAAAATAATGTATACATGAATTAAAAGACAAATATTGTAGTACGAAACTAGATTTTGTTTCCTACAAAATTCCGGAAAATTATTAAAATGGTCTATAATATGAATTTAAAAAAATATGGATAGAATTACTATATTCCGATAAACAAAATGATTGAGTCTGTATTAAAAATTATGAACTCAATAAAAAGATACCTAAATATAATAGGTACTACAATATTTATATTTTAGTTTAAATATTTTAATTCATGAAATTACTATTATTTTTGGAAAAATATTGATTAAAAGAAAATTATTATCAAGTTAAATAAAAACTAAAATATTTAATTGACCATTTTTTAGAATTGATTATTAATATGAATAATATAGTTCATATTAAATGGTATTTCTATCGAATTTGAAAATAACAACGTTTCGTTGGATACTTTGCAACTAGCCTGTATATGAGTTAACTTAGTCATTTAAAAAAATATATACTTTTAATTCTATTCTGTGGCCAACTTCATTCTGTTAATTTTGTGTCACGGTGCGCGCGCATTGTAAAGGGGCCGTTCATAAAATACGTTCGTACTTAGGGGGGAGGCGGGGGTGTTGTCAAGTGTGACCATACATGTTAAGAAGATGGGAAAAAGCGTGATGAAGGGGGGGAGGGGGTCCAAAATACCGATATTTTGCGTGACGTAATTTATGAACGGCCCCAAAATTTCACTCTCATCAATTTTTTATAACGCGCCTAAAGAAGTATAACTTCAAAAAAAACTAGTAAAAATACCCTTTTTTTGAACCTCTGAAACCCACCTAACCCCTTAATTTTTGTGAGTTGTTTATTATATAATTTTGTGAAACTTTTATCACATTTTCATGTAAATGCAAATGTAAATAAAATTATAATTTTCAAGTATATCTACATTTCTATTAATAATTATTAATTATAATTATATTACCTAAATTTTTCTTTCTTATTCCATTTTCTTAAATCACTGATCTCACAACGGGTTTAGCAGGCTTCCAGGTTGTTAAGCAGGCAATCATCATGAAAATTTTTTAAAGATCGAATTCCTTAACCTGGAATATTTGCGGCACTGCATCAACTTACAGAAACTATACGTGTATTTGCCTGTGCCCAACCGATACCACAGTGACTTAAATAGAAAAATCTCTGAAAATTTCAAATCTGCACAGTTTAAAGAAACAAATATATTTTCAACCACCGTTATGGTAGCTAAACCTTTGCTCCACCGCTCTGATGTCGAATGCCTTAACCGCTCGGCCGTGGATTCGGGTTTGTTTTATATAATTTGTGATTGAAATCAAAATATTTTTTGTTACAGATATGAACCAAAATACTAGTCTCAAAACAGGTCCAAGATTAGAACCATTTTGCTTAGGACAAATTTATAACGCAAGTAAAGCACAGCAAGTTCATGTTTTACCAGCTTATTCTACTTAATTTCATTGATTAAGTAGGAAATTTCTTCAATACATGTAACAATCATAAAATAAAATAAATGAAGGTTTTTGTAATTATTTATGTTTTTTTTTTACTAAATCATAATTTCAATTACGAACTTCATCAAGTTTTTATTTGTCTGAAAGTGTAATTTTATGGGCTAAATCGACTACTTAGTTTTTAAATATAAATTTTCATTACATATGCGTAAATTGTGCACAGCAGAGCTCCTAAATACTTGAATTGTCAGGGGCCAAAATTTTAGGAATTCAACAGTATGAGGATAGATACAGTATGGCAAAAGTTAGAATGGAGGAAACTTAGTCGAGTATTTGGGAGCTGTACTGTATTGAGAGTAGGCTGAGCGTCTTATTTCAATTATGTGTACTATTTATTTATTCATTTATTTATTTATTTATTTATTTATCAACTTACGCCTATTGGTAATATACATTAAAAGAAAATATATAAATATAGCAGTATATGATTAACATAGGTGTACAGGCTGGTTGTCGTCGATCTACCGCCTACAAAGCCATGTTGCTTAGTTGAAATAATATTTTTGAAGGAGGAAGTCAGTTGAGGTAAGACCATCTTCTCAATTAGCTTAGTGAATGCTGATTGAATACATATTGTTGATTATTCATAGGAACAATGTTATAAATAAACGTGTAAATATTTAGCAAATAGTTTCAAATACAATTTATTAATAAGAAGAAAATATTATACGTAGTAACAACTTAATGGTTCAAGAAAGACTGACTACTTACAAGTAGGCAGTAATACAATAATCCTTATTGGTATTTATGAGTAACATATTGAAGTCGGATAATTATAGAAATATATAAGTATGCATGTTTGCTATAGTGATTAAACTTTCAACACACCCTCTCAAACTGCATACTCTAAAATATTAATTAATCTTGTAATTAGTAACCAAATCCAAAACCATCCATACATTTTTCGTGCATAACTCGAGGTAATGGTTTTGTTAACACATCAGCAATCATTTCACTCGTCGATACATGGCATACATTTATCAACTTATTCGTAATTGCTTCGCGTATAAAATGATATTTTATATCCATATGTTTCGTTCGCGCATGAAACATGGAATCAACAGCTAAACATTGTGCGCCATAGTTATCTACAAAAATATTCATTTTTGCCCAATCACTCAGTTCTAATTCGCAAAACAAACTTTGCAAATACAAAGCTTCTTTTGTAGCCTCTGCTAGACTCACATACTCGGCCTCGGTCGACGACAGAACAACAGTACGTTGTTTTTGAGATTTCCAACATATAGCCGCGCCGCTGAACAAAAATACATAGCCTGAATAAGACTTTCGGTCAATCGTACACCCACCCCAATCGGAGTCTGAATAACCAATTAAAGCCTTATCAACTTTACTATAAACAAGTCCAGAACTTATAGTTCCAGCTAAATATCTCAACACACGCTTTGCAGCCAACCAATGGCATTTACGCGGCCTTTCAACGAATTGAGCTAACCTAGAGACAGTATTCGAAATATCAGGTCGAGTCGCTACAGATATATACATAAGAGCACCAATTAATTCGCGGTATGGATACTCTTCATGTGACTCATCCTCGCTTACATTTTCAAAATGTACATTTAATTCGGAAGGCGTTGCAACCGGATTACAGTCATTCATACCGTATTGTTTAAGCAATCCAGCGATATATCCCGATTGAGAGAGCTCTATTTGCTCTTCATACTGAACTATTTCTAAACCAAGACAATATTTTGCAAGACCTAATTCTTTTAACTCAAAAGATTCCATTAAATCTCGTTTTAACTTATCTACCTCTTTCATATCATTCGACGCAACAAGAATATCATCTACATACACTGATACTAAAGTTATACAATTTTTAATTTTTCGAAAGAATAAACAAGGTTCATTTTTTGCTATTTTAAAGCCAACTTGTCCTAATTTCTCACTTAACGTCGCGTACCACTGTCTGCCAGCCTGTTTTAGGCCATACAGTGCCTTTTTCAGCTTGCACGCATTTCCACCACTCTTTAGTTGGTGTAACATTTCTTTAGCACGCGCACACACTTTTATATCACATTTATCACTGGCGATGATTCTCTGCAACATCTCGATCAGCATATCCGGTACCTTCATGATCACTTCTTCTTTCAATGACCCATTGAGGTATGCGGTCACTACATCGAACTGCCAAATTTTTAACTTGAGTTGCGCTGCGAGTGCTAGCATTAATCTCAAAGTTTCTAGCCTCGCGACAGGTGCAAATGTCTGGTGATAGTCAACGCCGTACCTTTGACTATATCCTTTCGCCACTAATCGGGCCTTACGTTTCACGATTTCACCACTAGTATCATATTTATTTGTCAAAACTAAACGACACCCAACAACATTTTCTTCATCGCTCCTTTTAATAATATCCCAAGTATCATTCTTTATCAGCGATATAACCTCACTTTCAATAGCCTCCAGCCATTCATCTGATACATCACTCTTGAGCGCTTCTTTTACACTAACCTCTGCAACATTGACAAAAACGTCGTCCTCGATTTCATCTTCAATGCCAATTTGGTTATTTGAATCGGGGTCACCACTTGGTGGTGTATCTTCTGACGTGGCTTGTGACTGAAACAACTTCCTCGGTCGCCCTCGACAATTTGTTCGAAGCAGACGGGGTCTGCCGCGCCCACGTTTAACAGTCTGCTTTTAAGGAGAAACGCTTTCATCCTGGGGCGTCTGTGACAATTCAGGGGATTTTTGGACAGGTCGTGGCGATAATTCGACTGTCTTCTTGTGATCATCGTTTGGCATTATCCACTCGTCAAAAATCTGTGTATCCCAAGGGCCATTACATGTATCCTCATTGAACTTCACGTCTCGCGCTTCAATTAACTTCCGTGCATCTGGAATCCACACGCAAAAACCTTTTCGTTCTCTCGGATATCCTACAAAAGTGCCACTTGTGGATCTCGGAGCCAATTTATCTTTATTTGGTTCTTTATTTAACACAGCCACTTTCGACCCAAACTTTTTGAAGTAATTTATATTATTTCGTTTACCCGTCCACACTTCATACGGAATTGCAAAGTCTAAACTGGCTGTAGGGCAACGATTTCTAATATGACACGCTGTGGCTATAGCCTCAGACCAAAACATCCCGCTCATTCCAGACGACAGTAATAAACACCGACCCATATCCAACAGTGTACGATTCATTCGTTCACTTACTCCATTCTGTTGGGGAGTATAAGGTACACTCATTCGCCGCGTAATACCTTGGTCGGCCAAATACTTATCAAACTCTGTATTACAATACTCGCGACCATTATCCGATTGTAAACACTTAATCTTTTTGCCTGTCTGTCTCTCAACTAATTGTTGATATAGTTTGAATGCTTCAAAAACACCACACTTGCGCTTGATAAAATACACTTCGCACCACCGCGTACGGTCATCAACAAAAGTAACGAAGTACTTTGCTCCACCGGTGGATTCGGTTCTAAATGGACCAACAACATCCGAATGTACCATTTCAAGTACCTCTTTGCACTTTTCATGTTTACTGCGAAAAGGCAAAGCCGTCATTTTGCCCTTTAGGCACACCTCACAGCCTAGATAACCGATCCACGTTACTCACATTTATTTTTGGTAAAAACCCGTCACTTACTAATTTTACAAGATCTTTACCGTTCAAATGTCCAAGTCTCTCATGCCACAATAATAACTGATCATCGAGTTTGCTAATTGCAGTTTCTGCACACTCGACACTTTCGCGCACATAATACAGGTCATCTTTGCGATCGGCAATCATCATCACATCTCCTTGAGAACTACGCACAATCGCACTGTCCTTTTTGAAAATAACCTCAAAATTTTTATCGGTGATTTTTGCAATTGATATTAAATTAGATCTTAAGTTAGGCACATACAAAGTATCGCGAAATTCTATCAGTTTTTGACCCTTGTCACTACTTACTGATATACACACATCACCTTTGCCTTTAACTTCAGTTGTCACATCATTCGCAAGGTTCAATTTATCGCGCTTTATTTATCGTGTTGAACAACACATCACTTCCACATAAGTGTGACGTACACCCACTGTCTAAAACCCGTGGCTTATTGGCAGCTTTAGTTGCTGCTTTATACACACAATCAGAATTCATTACAGTATGACTCACTGTGAAGGCCGCATCAACATTATTTGCCAAGTCATTGGGCTTACTTGGGGATTTATTTACTTTCTTGCTTGGACAGGCATTAGCCTTATGTCCCTTTCCCCCACATTTGTAACACCTGAACTCACGTTTCCCGCCCGATTGTACGTGACCTTTCTTTGGGCAAAACGCCATTGCAACGAGGTCATTTCCACTTTCCTCCCGCGTGGATTCATTGTACTCAAGGATTTTTACTTTCAGCTCTTTCGGAGACGGTAGTGTGTCCCGCGTCTCTATTGCTGTACGAAAAGCTTGATACGATGGAGGGAGACTATTCAATAATATGACAGTCTGTAGATTGTCGCTTATCACCTCTCCCATGCTTACGAGCTTGTCCGTAGTCTCGAAGAAGCCATCCATGTGATCTCTAACATCACTACCCTCGCACATTTTTCGCTGAATAAGTTGCTTCAGCAATGCCGCCTTTTTTGCAGGTCCAGTTGACGCATATACCGATTGCAACTTAATCCAAATCTCGTTCGACGTCTTGCAATGTTTAATGTCCTTCAATAAACGTGGTTGAATCGACAGAATGAGTTCTGTCCTCGCCTGATCATCTTTTTCAATCCAATTTGTGAGTGCTTCCGTTGGTACTGCTGATGAACCACGTGCCGGCTTCACTGTTGTTCCGTCTACGTATTTCCATAAACCATTTCTCCTCAGCCATGCTTCGATTTGTATTGTCCATGTGTCGTAATTTTCCTTCGACAACAATTCAATACGCGAAGCTGACGATCCCGTATTTGACGCCATTTTAATAACAAAAAAGAACACTCGTTAACAACGCGTGACCGCTAAAAATATACAACGTAAAATACTATTTACTATAAAAATGTAGGTATGCACACTGGGCCCATAACCTGTTGATTATTCATAGGAATAATGTTATAAATAAACATGTAAATATTTAGCAAATAGTTTCAAATACAATTTATTAATAAGAAGAAAATATTATACGTAGTAACAACTTAATGGTTCAAGAAAGACTGACTACTTACGAGTAGGCAGTAATACAATAATCCTTATTGGTATTTATGAGTAACATATTGAAGTCGGATAATTATAGAAATATATAAGTATGCATGTTTGCTATAGTGATTAAACTTTCAACACATATGAGTCTGTAGTTGGAGACAGATGATGTAGAGTCGTCCTTATGTATCAAACTGACGGAAGAAACTTTTCAGTCTGTTGGGAAAGCCCCAAGTTGTAGTGATTTGCTAAAGATGTGAGTTATGGGCTCACAGATCCCGGCAGCGCAATTACTGAGGAAGATGTTTGGAATCCCATCCGGTCCAGCTCCTTTATTGGAGTTCAAATTCATCAGTTGCTTGTAGACGTGTTACGTCCAGATGTTAAATACGTAACTTTGATAACAGTTCCTTAAATTTGAGACTAATCACTTAAGATTATATGTCTCGGGAGGCGGGAACCGCGCCTATAGATAATCATATGTCAAGATTGCACGACTTCACGCAATTTGTCAGCGATTAAATTTATTAAATATAAAATCTATTAGGGGAATGGACGGACTAAGGTTACTACCGGGGTCAGATCGCACGCGAATAAACAACGGGAGATAATGTATAAATGAATGAGTAAGAATAGATAAATAAATACGAATTAATTATACCTGTCGATCGTTGAGTATAATGATGACGAAAAATTTCCTGGATTGATCTACCTGGATGAGTCCGCTCTGATGAGATTAGTTAATATTTAAAAACGTTGTATATTTAGTTATTAATTTTACTTTTTAGGTTTAAAAATAAAAGAAATGATTTTGTTAATATTACCTTTTTATTTTATTCAGAATTTATCGAATAATAAAATTGTATTGAGTTACACGGATAAATTAATTGACTGGTTGGTTTTTGACTGACACGATTAAAGTGAATTGATCCCATGCAACTTTTATGGGAGTTGTGTAACTCGTGATACTCTTTTACTGATATGAAATAAGAGAAGAACGAAGTACTAAATGAGTTATAGAATATGTTAACGTTAATGAATTTACTGAAACCAATCCTCTGGCTGCAGAGTCTTTTATAAATTCAGCCCTTCCTCCCTTATAACTGATGTCCTTCTCTCCCAAATGGTAACGACCCGGACCTACTCTTTTTAACAATAAAGTTGACGTATTATTTTATTTTTCTGCTGCCTATTCCTTAACTAGGTTATCACACTAAGCTACTGCGTCTCACGGCTATCTTAATTAACCATAAATTATCCAAATATCAGTGTTACGAAACCGTACTGACTCTACCACGAGATAACGGGTTCGAATCCCAGTCCGAGCTATCTAATAATTTTTTCTCACATATTCTATATACTCACATTAAGAAGTTCCTCCCCATAATCCTTTCTCAATCCTTTCCTACCAATTATCCTGTTACGTGAATGTTGGAACGCTTCACGTAATAATTATCCGTAACTCCTATTCTTTCCCGCTTCACAGCATTATTTATATTTGTTAAAAATGCTAGCCGTAAGATGGACGGTGTGGCTTAATGTATATAGAATAAGTGAAAGGAAATTTAGTATAGACCGGATAGCTCAAATGGTAGAGTAGCCGACATGTCTTCGGAAGGTTCTGGGTTCAGATCCGAGTCCGAGCTATCTAATAATTTTTTCTCATATATTCTATAAACTCACATTAAGAAGTCTTTCCTACCAATTATGTATCCTGTTACGTGAATGTTGGAACGCTTAACGTAATAATTATCCGTAACTCCTATTCATTCCCGCTTCACAGCATTATTTATATTTAAAAATGCTAGCCGTAAGATGGACGATAACAAATATAAATAATGCTGTGAACCGGGAAAGAATAGGAGTTCCGGATAATTATTACGTGAAGCGTTCCAAAATTCACGTAACAGGATAATTGGTAGAAAAGGATTGAGAAAGGATTATGGAGAAAAACTTCTTAATGTGAGTGTATAGAATACGCGAGAAAAAATTATTAGATAGCTCAGACTGGGATTCGAACCCAGAACCTTCCAAAGACATGTCGGCTACTCTACCATTAACAAATATAAATAATGCTGTGAACCGGGAGAGAATAGGACTGAGAAAGGTCCTAATTATCAGGAACTTCTTAATGTGAGTTTATAGAATATGCCAGAAAAAATTATTAGATAGCTCGGACTACCGGTTATCTCACGGTGAAAGCGTATATATATATATATATATATATATATATATATATATATATATATATATATA